TGAATTTATTTTTTGATTAATTGAAAATGACCCTATTAACCTTCTAAGGCATTCTTTATAAATCATAATTTTTATTTCTGGTTTGTTATGGTGCTATTGTTTTCCAAGGTATTTTCCTCTTTTTTTCTTTCCATGTTTTATTTTGATTTATTTATTTTTAACATAAATTTTATTGTGTATATCTGAGATTTACAGTATGATGTTATGGGATACATATAAGTGCAGATACACATGGATGCATATTCATAGTACGGTGGTTACTGTAGTGAAGGAGACAAACATATTCATCATCCCACATAGTTACCTTATTGTGTGATAAGAACACCTAACATTTGTATATTTCCCCAAAATTTCCAATGCAATAGAATTTTACTAATTTTGGTCCTCATATTGTACATTAGATCTCTAGACTTGTTCATCCTACTTAACTATTTTGTATTCCTTGACTTACATCTCCCCATTTCTTCCCCTACCCATGCTAACCAGTTTCATCCTTTATCTCTGTGTATTTGAACTTTTTTTTTAATTCCACATATAAATGAGATCATGCAATTTTTTTGTGTGTGTATCTAAGTTATTTCACCTAACATAATGTCCTTCAGTTACATCCATGTGTCGTAAATGGCAATATCTCCCTTTCTTTATAAGGATGAATAATCTACTAATATATTTATATGCCAGATTTTCTTGGTCCATTTGTTTGTCCATGGGCATTTAAGTTGTTTCTAAAGTTGGCAACTGTGAATAATGCTGCAATGAACATGGAAATGTGAATATCTTGAACATGTGGTGATTTCATCTCCTTTAGGTATACAGTACTCAGAAGAGGAATTACTGGGTCATGTGGTAGTTCTGTTTTTACTTTCTCTAGGAATTTCCATACCGTTTTCTATAATGGCTATACTAATCTGTATTCCCACCAACAGTATACTAGGGTTCTCTTTCCTTCACACTCTCACCAACATTTATTATCTCTTGTCTTTCTGACTGTAGCCATCCTTAAGGGTGTGAGGGAGTATCTCATAGTGGTTTTAATTTGCATTTTCCTTATGGTTACTGATTCAAGCACCTTTTCATATACCTGTTGACCTTTTTTTGAAAAAATTATTATTACCTGGAGATGGGGGTCTCACTCTGTTTTCCTAGGCTGGAGTGCAGTTGCCAGTCACAGCTCGCTGCAGCCTTGAACTCTTAGGCTCAAGGGATCCTCCCACCTTAGCCTCCCAAGTAGCTGGAACTACAGGTGTGAGCAGCTGTGCCCACCTGGCCATTTTTTTTTTCAACTATGCTAGCATCCTAGTGTAGTCAACAGAGTTGGGATGAACCAGGGCCAGAATGCCAATCAGCTGTTGGCTACTGTTCTCCCAGTGTAATACTTGCCTAGGTACAAGGCAACCTAGGCAGCTGCCTACAACTGGGGAGCTGGCCGTTTTTATGTCTTCTTTGGGAGAAATGCCTGTTCATGGTGCTTGTCCATTCTTAAATTGCTTTTGCCAATATCTTTCTAAAATGGAGGTTCCAAACATTGGTAGTACTTTAAGCCTGTGTAACCGTGTTAGCATATAAAAAGGACAATTTTGTGTTTACAGCTTAACGTAAGATTTGCATAAGAATTTCAGACAGTATTATTATATCTATTCATGTTTGGCAATGCAGGTAATAAAAATACTGTTTGAACTTCAACAATGTAATCTTTCTGAAAGCGCTAGGTGTGGTGGCTCACGCCTGTAACCGCAGCACTTCGGGAGGCCTAGTTCGGGAGGTCAGGAGTTCGAGATGAGCCTGACCAATATCGTTAAACGCTGTCTCTACTAAAAATACAAAAATTAGCCATGTGTGGTGGCATGCACCTGTAATTCCAGCTACTCCGGAGGCTGAAGCAGGAGAATCACTTGAACCTAGGAGCTGTAGGTTGCAGTGAGCCAAGATTGCACCACTGCACTCCAGCCTGGGCTACAGAGTGAGACTCTATCTCAAAAAAAAAAAAAAAAAAAATCTTTTTGAAAGGAAAATTTCGAATTCTTTGCCACTCATCATGGATTTTATTAGGAACAAAAATCCTTGAATGGACCTGGATAAGACATGAACTTTTTAAAAATACAGCCCTTCTTTGTTACAGGCTCTGGCAGTCATCTTTGTTTCTTTAGATATTTTCATACAGCTAGGGAGTTTTCTTTAAGATTAGGTATCTACGTAGCAGAGATAGTATAATGTACATATATTTGAACTCTTTTTTAAAATACCAATTTGGTCCTTATAGCCAGGTGTAAGAGCTGTCATTGGATTATTTTTTTCTTTTGCTGATTAGACAACTTTTATATATATATATTTTGAGACGGAGTTTCACTCTTGTTACCCAGGCTGGAGTGCAATGGCACGATCTCGGCTTACCGCAACCTCCGCCTTCTGGGTTCAAGCAATTCTCCTGCCTCAGCCTCCCGAGTAGCCGGGACTACAGGTGCACACCACCATGACCAGCTAATTTTTGTATTTTTAGTAGAGATGGGGTTTCACCTCGTTGACCAGGATGGTCTTCATCTCTTGACCTCGTGATCCACCCGCCTCGGCCTCCCAAAGTGCTGGGATTATAGGTTTGAGCCACTGCACCCGGCCTATATATTTTTTTTAGTTTTTTGAGATGGAGTCTCACTCTATCACCGCAGCTGGAATGCAGTGACTCAGTCTCAACTCACTGCAACCTCTGCCTCCGGGTTCAAGCAATTCTCCTGCCTCAGCCTCCTGAGTAGCTGGGACTACAGGCTATAGGCATGTGCCACCACACTCAGCTATTTTTTTTTTTTTTTTAAGTAGAAATGGGGTTTCACCATGTTGGTAAGGCTGATCTCAGCCTCCTGACCTCAAGTAATCCATCCGCCTTGGCCTCCCAAAGTGTTAGGATTACTGGCCTGAACTTAAACAACTTATAGAATGATTGTTTTCATTTACTTAAGTTGGTAAAGCAATTTTTAAAATAAGTAACTAAATGTGATTTGAATGTTACGTCTCCCAAAGTTTTACCAAATATATTTTATAATCCCCAAATAACTTTCTAATAACTGGGGCATTTGAACAAAGGTACAAAATGTTTTATAAATAATAAACTCTCTATTCATAGAAGTGTTTAGGCATGCATACTTACCCCACCATCCCTCCAAATAAACATATAGAAACAAAAAGGATATTGTGTAATGGATTTTATTTAATTTTTTCAAACGGAGTTTCGCTCTTGTTGCCCAGGCTGGAGTACAATGGCATAGTCTTGGCTCACCCAAACCTCTGCCTCCCGGGTTCAAGTGATTCTCCTGCTTCAGACTCTGGTGTAGCTGGGATTACAGGCATGCACCAACCACCATGCCCGACTACTTTTGTATTTTTAGCAGAGATGGGGTTTCTCCATGTTGGTCAGGCTGGTCTCAAAGTGCTGGGATTACAGGTGTGAGCCACCAAGCCCAGCCTGTGTAATGGACTTTTATGGTTTATTGGAATTTGGAGAAGTCTGTTATTCTGATTCTGTGAGTGACAAATTTTGAATTAGAAATGCTGTAAATTGTAATTTTACTAATTTTGGTTTAATGCCAGTTTTTTTTTTAGCAGCTTAGTATTTAATTGAAATCTCTGTGAAAGGTAGTGTGTAGAAGAATGAGTCAGTATATTCACTTGTGTATTATATTTTCTATAAAGGTAGAATATATCTTATAATTAATACCTAACATACTAAAGCAGGAAACCATCTTAGATCCCCATGGGAAGAATTAGTTACATCTTTTAAGCTCTCAAATAAATATAAACCACTGATTTTACTTTTTTCCTGACCCACTGACAAATTTCCTACCTATTGAGAGATTTGAAGGGTATATAGTCATTTCATAACAATTGAATAGTTGTAGTCATTAGGGCTAAGAAGTAATTTAAGGAAACAGTTTGAGGTATATTTTTTTCATAGACTTGCACAGTAGTAATCGATATAGCAAACATTTTTTGAACACTTAGTGTATGCCTGAACACGGTACTAAACACTTTGCATTCCTCTCATTTAGTCCTCAAAATGCTATGAGGTAGGTGTTAGAATTAATTTCATTTTACAGGCTTGGGTTGATAGATAAACAGCTCTGAATGTTGAACTTTATATTTTGTAAGTTTTATTTTTTTCCAGATTAGTTAACTCATACTGATCTTGTGTTAAATCAGGCTTTACAGTTTTTTTTTTTTTTTTTTTTTTTAGCATGTATCTCATTTGATATGTACCATGAATGCCCAAGACCAGATTTACAGATATATGGTCTGTAGCTGTCTTCTCCTTTCTATTGTTATTTCATAGCAGTTACTAACCTAAGACATGTTCTCTGTGTCCAGTTCCCCAAGTCTCACAAAAAAACCTACTCATTTCTTAAAACATGAACAACGTATTGCAGTACTTTGAAAATCAGTTCAAATTTTATGTCAGCTTTTATTTTGCCTCTAGATCTGTAAAGTCAAAGGCTCTCCTCTCTCCATTACTGCTGGAAAAATAGCAAAATGTTTCCTTTTGATCATTTTGCCTCACTGTCATCTCCCTGTTAGCTGTTGCTCATGTGTAAATAGCAAAAAAAAATTATATTTTTTCTAAATAGTGTAGTTCAAACACAGACCAAATATGTATGCTGTCCTACATGATTTTATTTCTAAAATTCTTAGGCAGTTAGGGATAGAGCTACTGTAACATTCTGTCTTAAGTTTATTTTTTATTAAAATGATAATACTGTATTTTTTCTTTTACTTATGATTGGTTTTCGCATTGCTGCATGTTATTTTGAACACCTGGCTTTCTCCATTGAACAACTTGATTTCCTTTAATCCATGTGAAGACCTTAGTATTAGTTATGTTTATGTTATTTCATTAATGCTTTTGTTTCTACATTTAGCTTATTTAAGGATAAGAACTCCTGTGCTTTTTTTATAACCTTTCCAAAGCCAAATAGAGAAATTAGTGATTTTTATATATTTCTTTTTGTCTGTTTTAGGATGGCTACAATAGACTAGTTAATATTGGGCCAAAGAAACCACCACTGCTAGACAGACCTGGTGAAGGAAGCTACAATAGATATTACAGTCATGTTGATTACCGAGACTATGACGAGGGCCGCAGTTTTTCTCATGATCGAAGAAGTGGTCCACCTCACAGAGGAGTATGTAAATTTCCCCCGTGTACTAATTGTTATTTCTTATAAGTTTAAAATTAATGTAATTAAAAAAATTTATGTGACGGCCATGAAAGCAGTTGAATAAACACTTTCTGCTTGATGCTCTCATGTGAATTGCCAGCTGGAGCTGTCAGATGGCAACTAGTAGTCAAGAATCATGGGGTGCTGGACAAAGTAGGTAAGCACTCTGGGTAGCACTATCTAAATGAAATTAATTCCAACCAGCCTGCTTTTCTTTAATCCCCTAAATTGGCAGGGATTTGTAGAACCATGTAAAGGTAATCTGTTGTCTTGGTACTTAATAAGTGATGAGCAGGTGGTTACCATTTCTTACTAGGTGACCTACTTTTTTTTTTTTTTTTTTTTGAGATGGAGTCTTGCTCTGTCACCCAGGCTGGAGTACAGTGGTGCAATCTCAGCTTACTGCAGACTCCGCCTCTTGGGTTCAAGCGATTCTCCTGCCTCACCCTCCCAAGTATCTGGGATTGTAAGTGCATGCCACCATGCCTGGCTAATTTTTGTATTTTCAGTAGAGATAGGGTTTCACCATGTTGACCAGACTGGTCTTGAACTCCTGACCTCAAGTGATCTGCCCGCCTCAGTCTCCCAAAGTGCTGGGATACGGGCATGAGCCACCACTCCCAGCCTAAAGTCTATTTATTAACTAAGATTAGAAAACACTCAAAACTGTGCCATAGGAAGCAATTAAAAAATATTAGCTGGCTGGGCACAGTGGCTCACGCCTGTAATCCTAGCACTTTGGGAGGCCGAGGTAGATGGATCACCTGAAGTCAGGAGTTCGAGACCAGCCTGGCCAACAAGCTTGGCCAACATAGTAAAACCCTGTCTCTACTAAAAATACAAAAATCAGCCGGGTGTAGTGGTGGGCACCTGTAATCCCAGCTACTTGGGAGGCTGAGGCAGGAGAATTGCTTGAACCTGGGAGATGGAGGTTGTAGTGAGCTGTGATCTCGCTACTGCATTCCAGCCTGGGTGACAGAGCGAGACTCCGTCTCAAAAAAAAAAAAAGTTAGCTGCTATTATTACTATTACAACTTGTTTCTCTTCAGCATTCTTAATAGTCTAGAAGTATGTATTTAATGTTGCAATGATTTGTAATTGAAGTTAATACTGTTCTTTGACAGATTCCTCTGTCCTACCTTGCATGTTTTCAACTTTCCTCAGATAGGTTGTTTTCCTACCTTTTCTCTTTTCCCCCCCTTTTCTGCTGTATAACATGGCAATTAACAGTACGTATTCAAACCCTGTGTATAAAAAAATTTGACCTCACATTGGCTATTGGAATTAGTTTCCATACTTTACGCTTGAAGAAAGGGAGTTAAGGTGATTTATTCAGGATGGATATGTATGGAAGTTTGGTTTCTTTTACTGCTGCATCATAGTGACCCCTAACAATTCCAAAGTGGTAATGAGACTAATGTTTTCTCGTGTTAGTTTCTAAAGTTTGGGGTTTTATAGCTTTCTTACTCTTCACAGGATTTATTTTTACTTTATTCAGTTTTTAAATGTCATGCTGCTTTTTTGTTGTCCTCATATTTATTATTAAAATTTTTGTTTATTTCAGTAGCTTTGGGGTTCAAATAACTTTTGGTTACATGGATGAGTTATGTAGTAGTGAAGTTTGAGATTTTAGTGTACCCTCTCATTTGTTACCATTTTTGTGAAAACCCTAGTTTGTGTTTGAAACCTCATGAAAATGATTTTTTTCCCTAAAATCTTGTAGCATAGTAGAACTTCAGTGATAGTTTTTTTTATAATATTGTTACCAATTATTTGTCTTTATACTTTTGTGTATGTAACATTTTTTCTTTAAATTCCCTTTAAACAACAAACATGCTTGTGATCCTTAAGACTCTTATGATACTAATTCTTATGTAGAGTTCATTTATGTAATGCAAACAAATTACTTGATTTAATATTTTATTATTGCTTTTTTAAATTTTGTTTACATTTAATGTTAAGACAGAAAATGATGATATTTTATTTATATAAGAATAGGATATGTGATGCTAAAGAGGAGGAAGAGGATACTGATTTTAATCAGTTTTCCTGATACATAATTTGCATATTGTATTATTCTATATATAATCTTACTCATTTTTTGAGACAGAGTCTCATTCTGTTGCCCAGGCTGGAGTGCAGTGGCGTGATCTTGGCTGGGCAACCTCTGCCTCTTGGGTTGAAGAAATTTTCCCGCCTAAGCCTCTGAGTAGCTGGGACTATAGGTGCACATCACTGTGCCCGGCTAATTTTTGTATTTTTGTAGAGAAGAGGGTTTAACCATGTTGGCCAGGCTGGTCTCGAACTCCTGACCACAAGTGATAAACCTGCCTCAGCATCCCAAAGCACTGGGGTTACAGGTGTGTGGCACTGCGCCCAGCCGATTCTATGTATAATTTTTAAGTAATTGGGTGTGGATTGCTACATGGTTCTTTCTTATGCACCTTTGTAAATATGTCTGTTTTAGAGAACAAAATGTGCTTTATTTGATTAATATTAAATTTATTTAAGTTTAAATAAATTTAAATCTTATTCTAATATAGATTATCTGTACATGACAGTTTCTTGTATTGTTTCCAGTTTGGTTTTTAATTGGAGATAAGGTGAGAATATAAAACTTGAACAGGAAAAATGGGAAAGTAGCAAGTTTTTCATTGGGATTGAATCTGAAAATTGGTAAGGAAACTAAACAGTAGGGAAAATATGAGGTTGAGAAACGTGTGCTTTATTAAATTTTTAGACTTTGTCCTCAAATAGCCCTTAGCTGTTGTGATATTGATATATGTATTTTTGGCAATTAGGCTGTTTGAGTACCAAAGAAATAATTTAAGCCTTTTAATAGAGATAGATGGTATCACAGGTTCTCAGTCAGTCCACTGTTTTAGTTGTTGAAATAAATGACTTGCTGAATCTTTTTTCTTTTTATGGCGTTGGAGTTTAGGGAAACTTAGCGTAGTTTTTTGTAGTATTGTAAGATATATCCCACTTGTCCAAAATAATGTAAATAAATAGCTAAGTAGCTTTTTTATGTTTCAGGATGAATCTGGTTATAGATGGACAAGAGATGATCATTCTGCAAGCAGGCAACCTGAATACAGGTAAAAGGATAAAAATATCAAAGTACATAAGTACTTTGATATCTGACTCACCAGTATATCTGCCGTTGAAATCTAGACTCAAACATAGATGAAATTTTACTGGGATTTCAAATTTTGAAAGCAACAAGCATTATATTCTTTTTGTAACTATGCAGTATGATAGCACTGGTAACTGGTGTTCTATACCTCTTAGCATTTTGTAACTCATAAAATATATATTTAAAATATTTGGGCTGGGTGTGGTGGCTCACGCCTATAATCTCCTCACTTTGGGAGGCTGAGGTCGGCAAATCACTTGAGGTCAGGAGTTTTGAGACCAGCGCGGTCAACATTGTGAAACCATGCCTCTACTAAAAATACAAAAACTTAGCTGGGTGAGCACCTGTAATCCCAGCTACTCAGGAGGCTGAGGCAAGAGAATTCCTTGAACCCAGGAGTTGAAGTTGCAGTGAGCCAAGATAGCACCAGTATACTCCAGCCTGGGCAATAGAGTGAGACTCTGTCTCAAATCAAAGCAAACCAAACAACAACAAAAAAACCCTATTGATATAGTCTTGCAAGTTAATTATTAAATTATTAATGTGTGGTATGGATTTTGAGATTTGCTTAATTAGAATTTCATTTGATAGGTTTGCTTAATTAGAAGTAAGGCATTATTTCAGAAGTATTCTGGAAATATTTGGGTTCTTACAAATTCTGCTATTATAAGGCATTCTCTCAGTTTCCTTAGTAATGTTCTTTTAGGAAACACAGTTTGCAAGGGGCTCAATCATTGTTGGCTTTGATTACTTATACAGGGCATCTAATTGAGTAGTTGTGAAGGGGAACTGATCGACACATTTAAATCTATTGATAGTTTTTGTTCGTTTTTTAAATGACATCACAGTGGTGGTATTGGAAGTTGTAAAAGGAACCTTGTAAAGATTTCTTATGAACTGTCAGAGAAAAGAACCCCAGTCTCATGGAGAGTGACAAGGCATCAACTGTCACAATTCCATAGATGGCAAAAGTAGACAAGATTCAGCGGATCAGAGCAGGACCGATTTTTTTCTTTTTTTTTTGAGGCAGAGTTTTGCTCTTATTGCCCAGGCTGGAGTGCAATGGTGTGACCTTGGCTCACTGCAACATCTGCCTCCCAGATTCAAGGGATTCTCCTTCCTCAGCCTTCTGAGTAGCTGGGATTGCAGGCGCCTGCCACCATGCCAGGCTAATTTTTTTGTATTTTTTAATAGAGGCAGGGGTTTCATCATTTTGATCAGGCTGGTCTCGAACTCGTAACCTCAGGTGATCCACCTGCCTTGGCCTCCCAAATCTCCCTGAGATTGCAGGCATGAGCCACCGCACCCGGCTGACAAGATTTTTATTCACGGAACAGCAATCAGCAGGAGGATCAGCATTGTAGTGCAGGTTCCCTGTTCCCAAATCTCACCGGGCCATGTGATAGGCAGAGATGGAGGCTATGCACACAGTGGGATGCCCTGTGGCTGAGGAAGCCAGGGTCAAGAGCTTGGTACCTTTTATAGAAAGCAGAATGCAAGTTAATCCTCCTTTCCCTGGGAGTGACCTGCCGTAGTAGTCACGTTGTGGTCGCCTTAACCTGTTTAATCTTCTCTGTAACCAGTTACAGAAACTGTTCAGTTCAGTGGATAGGTAGGTCTTAGAATTTGGCATATATAGCTGTTTATATAGAATTTGGCATATATATCGAGGGACATTCAGAACCCATGGCAGACTGTTTCTCCCAAAAGAAGCAATGAAAAGATGCCGAAAAAATGCTTTGATAAAATTCATCACTAAGTAGTTATTAAAATAGCGGGGAATGGAAAGACAAATTTCCTTGCCCAGGTATTTGGGCATTTGCTGTACTGAATGGTGAAGTTAGAAACATTTGCTTTATAATCAGAACAAAACAATGACACTTAGTCACTGCTTCCACTCAGCATGTTAACAGCTCTACAGTAAAGTGAAGAATAAATAAGTTGTAAGAATTAGAATGAAAAACACAGCTATTTAAAGATGATGTAATTATGCAGAAAATCTAGGAAAGTCTATAGACTGTAAGAACTATTAGGAAATTAGCAAGGTTCAGTGTAATAAAATCAACTATTAGCATAAATTAGAAAATTTGTTTTTAAAATACTATAGTATAAAACTGTACTGAGTAATAGGAATAAACCCACCAAAAGTGTATGAGGCCTATACAAGGAAATTACAAGTCATTTCTAAAGGAAATAAAAGTAAATCAGAGTAAAAGAAGAAACACTACATCCTTAACTAGGAAGACTCAGTATCATATAAATGTTAGTTCTCAAATTAAGGTGAGAATTCAGTATGGTTCCATTCAAAAATTCAAGTTGTTTATTTTATTTATTTTTATTTTTATTTTTTTAGAGGCAGGGTTTTACCATGTTGGCCAGGAGGGTCTCAATCTCCTGACCTTTTAATCTGCCTGCCTCAGCCTTCCAAAGTGCTGGGATTATAGGTGTGAGCCACTGCACCTGGCCAAGATGTTTATTTTTTTATTTTGCATGGACGTTGACAAGTTGATTTTAAAACTAATACGAAAGAGTAATGGACTAAATGGTAAAAATGCCTTGAAAAAGATGTGAAGACTTAAGATATAGTATATGCATAATTATAAAGCTGTAGTGATGTAAACAGTGTTGTACTGTTGATATGAAATAGACCACTGAAACAGAATCTTCAAATGAACCTAGATATATCTGGAGTTGGGGTATAGTAACAGTGGTATTACAGATCCAGTGGAGAAAGAATGAACTTTTCAATAAATAGTGTGCTGGGACGAACATTTCAAAAACATGACATTGGAGCCTAATATATTTAAATAGTATCTGATGTAATTAAGACCTGTGTGAAAAACAGAATTGTAAAACACTTTTAAAAATTAGATCAGCTAGTGGCTTATCTTTCTCCTCCAAAGAAATATCTCCAAAGAAATTTATTTTAGCTTAATTTTTTTTTTTTTTTTGATGGATTTTCGTTGTTATAATTCAGACTGGAGTACAATGGCACTATCTCGGCTTACCGCAACCTCCACCTTCTGGGTTCAAGCAATTCTCCTGCCTCAGCCTCCCAAGTAGCTGGGACTACAGGCACCACCATGCCCAGCTAATTTTTTTTTGTATTTTTAGTAGAGACGGGGTTTCACCTTGTTGACCAGGAAGTTCTCGATCTCTTGACCTAGTGATCCACCCGCCTCGGCCTCCCAAAGTGCTGGACTTATAGGCGTGAGCCACTGCGCCCGGCCTATTTTAGCTTAATTTTTAAATTATTTTTTATTAATATAAATTTAATGGATACAAGTACAGTTTTGTTATATGGATGTATTATGTAAAGTCAGAGTTGTTAGTGTATCCACCACTTGGATAATGTATATCGTACCCATTAAGTAATTTCTTATCCCTCACTCGCCTCCTACCCTTCCAGGTCTCCACTGTTTCTCATTCCACTCTCTATGTCCATATGTACACATTATTTAGCTCCCACTTAATACTCAGAACTGAGAACGTTCAGTCTTTGACTTTCTGTTTCTGAGTTGTTTTACCTAAGATTATGGCCTACAGTTCCCATGTTGCTGCAGAAGACATGATTTCATTCTTTTTTACGGCTGAGTAGTATGCCATTTTGTGTATGTACTACATTTTCTTTATCCAGTCATCCACTGATGGACATTTAGGTTGATTGTATCTTTGCTATTGTGGGTTTTCAGTTTGTAAAATAACAGTTTTTATGTTAATTTTAATTTACTCTTCCTGTCTTGTTTTTTGTTTTTTAGTTTTTTTTGGGAGACGAAGTTTTGCTCTGTCTCCAGGCTGGAGTGTAGTGGCATGATCTCAGCTTACTGCAGCCTCTGCTTCCTGGTTTCAGTTTTCCTGCCTCAGCCTCCTGAGTATCTAGGACTACAGGCGCATGCCACCACACCCAGCTAATTTTTGTATTTTTAGTAGAGATGGGGTTTCACCATGTTGACCAGGATGGTCTTGATCTCTTGATGTCATTATCTATCTGCCTTGGCCTCCTGAAGTGTTGGGATTACACGCGTGAGCCACCGTGTCTGGCCTCTCTTCCTGTCTTTTTTTTTTTAAGCATTTTGTGTATGTATGTAAAATTTTATGTAAATGAAATAAAAACATATATGAATCTGTCATTCCCACAGTCATGTTCATGTTAACGTCTTGGTGTAAGTTCTCTATTTTTCTCTATATTTATAAACATTTAGGGCTTTTGATTGTTTGAGTGTTTTTGTTTGTTTTGAGACAAAGGTCTGCCCAGGCTTGAGTGCACTGGTGTGATCACGGCTCACTGTAGCCTTGATTTGCCAGGTGGAAGTAAGCATTCCTCCTGCCTCAGCCTCTCAAGTAGCTGGGACCACAGGTGTATGCCACCACACCCATCTAATTTTTTTTTTTTTTTAACTATTTTGTGGAGACAAGGTCTTACTTTATTGCCCAGGATGGTCTTGAACTCCTGGGCTCAAGCAATCCTCCTACCTTGGTCTCCCAAAGTGCTGGGATTATAGGAGTGAGTCATTGTTCCTGGCTGAATTGAGTCTTTTCAACAGTCACGTATAGTCCACGGTAAGGATATGTCAAATAATTTAGCTGATCACTGTTTACAGTACAAAACAGTGCTGCAGTAAATTCTAATACATAATATTTTCATAAAACAGTACATTAGTTTTTATGGGAAAAGTTGCTGGAAGCAGAATTTCTGGGTCAGTGGGTTTATATACGTATTTTAAATTTTAACAGATATTTTAAATTTAATATAGATGTATTTTAACTTCTGCCTGCTAAAAATGCTGACACATTTTTTTTAAATTAAAAATCTTAACATTTTAATTTGGATAGTTATTTTTCTTTCTTATTTACTAATGTAAGTAGTTTGAAATTTCCTTTAAATAGTACCATAACTGTATCCCATGATTCTGATACATAGTAATTTACCCAGATTCTGACATACTGTATTCTAATTATTCC